TCCACTAACGCTGAAGAATGCAGCCAAAAAAATGAGTGACGAATGGACGGGTGACGAATGTTGCTCGACTGCCGCTCGAAATTCGTGTCAGAGAAGAGATGGAGCGCGCGCTAGTTTATGCGTCTATTATGTCATTCATCGAGTCCTTGATCACAGTATAGTCGCATACATCATCCTTTTGTACGATACCTTGTCTCCGCATTTGTGTTCAAATATGTACTTTGCATTCACTAGTCGTCAAACGACGAACTCATTGAGTGACCATTAGGGTTGTAACAGTTTTTCCGGATGGGGAACAACGTCACGTAACAGTCACAGTCTGCTTTGCGCCAAGTTTACCTTGGTAGTTTTTTCAGCATGTTACCTCTCGATTTCTGGTCAAACGTTGGCGCGCGAATTCCGGCCTGTCTGGCTATGTAAGGAAGGTCGCTGAACGGACTCCACGGTGGCACGGAATCAAGTTGAATCAGCATCAAACAACAACCCTAGCGGGGCCTGTGTGCTCCCGCAGCCGGCCGTCCAGCCTCGAATTTTCCAAAATCGGTAGCTTTTTATCTTCAGAGCGCGACTTCGCTTCTCAGGTCATTGTTGAACGGTGGACTCACTGGGCAACCTGACACGAGAGCATCGGTGTTTCACAAATATACACAACGTTAACCGCAAACCATCCTATTCCAATACAGCCTGGACTTGGATCTTTCAATTACACAAAACATTGTGGTATGCCATCTTTCGAGATAAGCCATCACCGATATGATTTCTGACCACTTGTCAGATACAAGTAGTACTTCCCCGAGTTGTTCTGTTTCAATTCACCATTCGTGCCACAGTGTATGATCGCTGAGATCGATGTCGATGTTAGTATTTCTATGTCATATCCTCTCTAGCTCTCTGACCTCATCAACAATTCTTGCCGTACTGACCCTCGATTACGGGAATGAAGCTGGGAGAGGGCTGTCCCAGGTCGCTGTCAAGGGTGCTGAGTACGACTCCACAGGCTTCAGCCCCATCCAAAGTGAAAAGGACCCGGGTAGGCCTTATCAAACTCCTACGGGTTAATGGACAACCGAGAGAAGAGTCGATTCATTTGGTTTCATGTCACAGCGGGCGTTGAAGAGTCTGCTGTTGCGTTCACCGTCGCTGAGAAGATAAGAAGTCAGAAAGTGATAGAGCGGACGAATATCGAAAAGCGGCTTGCGGGAACGTTCTTTTTCTCGTGCAAGCACACGATTCTGTGTGGAACAGCTCCAGTCGCCTTTGAACCATGTTTATGCTCGGGTTCACGAAGCCAGTTGTTGTGCAATCCGGGAGGCCGCTAAGCCCGTCTTGATCCATAGCCTCGTTCAGCATTTGACCTCACATTCAATACGCCCGTACCTTTTTTCGAGTGGCTAGAGGACGGAAGACTGGACGCACTCGATGTTGAGGCAGGTGGTGGAGCGATATTGACTGGCACGTTGATATTCATTTCGCTGGTATGAACCATTACGAACATAACTGAAAGGCGCTGCACTTTCCTCATGTACAGACGCAGAATCTGAAAATATGGAGCGGCCCTATCATATGTCGATGAAGTCACAGTGAGCGTCAGATCGACTTCTGATTGTGGCAAGTTACGGCTATGTAAAGAAACGTAGGAGATACTCGGTCCAATCTACTGTATTGTACAAACCAGGAGGCGGTGATCGAAGGCTCAATATAATGAGTACAAATATTATAATGCGCGCAGTAATATATAAGAGAGAACCAAATACTGCATAGGAGTGTCGAATCCACAATATGACGGATCTCGGAGGTGTCATTGTGAGTGCCATATCTTCAAGGTATACGTCAATCATGCGGGAGCCAAGAAAAATCAAAACAAACAGTGGTGCACATGCAATCACAAAGGAAGCCACACGCCATAATATCTGCTCTGCGTGAGTCTGAAACAAAAAATTCCAACCCAGACAATGTATCCCCCCTAGCAACATTCCACTATGACCTCCAACGAAAGCTGTGATCTCCCTCCCTCCCTCCAGCAGCGTCGCACTGTAACCACGGATTAAAATTCCGACCCAGGCTCCGGACGATATAACACTGGAGACAAGTGCAATCCGGTTCAACAGCCTCATACCTACTCTAAAATTGGGATTTAGATTGACAGATGCATAAGATCTCATGAGAGATGCGATCCGCTCCTCTCCGAACAGCCGTGTAGCTGCTCTCATAAAATGAGATCCTATGGAAGATGAGATCCGCTGGTCCACTTCGTACAGCCATGTAGCTGCTCTCAAAAGGGGAGATATCATCTGACATCCGATCCGCTGGCCCTCTGCGATCAGCCATGTAGCTGCTCTCTAACGCGAGATCTCATGAGAGATGTGATCCAGTCCTCTCCTAACAGCCTCATAGCCACTTTCATGGCAAGTCCTCCTACATGATCTCCGATGATTTTGAGAGCTGTGGTGACATCACTAGGCCCACCGTAGCCACCTAGAGACGCGACACGACGTGAACGGGCAGCACTGGGGGACGTTATTGTGCCCATGCCCGCAGAACTCAACCAGGGATAGATGACATAGAACCAATAACGAGAATAGCCTACATGGCTGAATCTTGAATCTGCCTTGCTATAATGTTTGCGAATCAGAGCAATTTCAGGCAAGAATATTGACAATAACATACTCGTATGTTAAGGTTGCGTCGCCCAACGGTAATGCTGTTGCTTTCCAATGAACAATATAAGGACGTCTCACATCTTTTGGCTTCTTCCACCACCAGCAATAGGCAACACATGTCAGAACAACTATAGCCAGGGTGTCGATTTCAAGCAGTTATTGGAAGGTTCTGGCCACGACGAGCGGCGAGCTGGAGAACAAACCATACAAGTTGAAGAATGGCGACACCTTTGGATAGTATGTCACCCTTGCTTCGGTCTTCGATGTCCGCCTTCTGGATGACAGGCATGTCCACAGATTCCCGAAGAACAAATTGTAGGAGTTCATCGGGTGGTGTAAGAGTAGCTCGCGGCTCGTCATTGACGTATAGGATGAACCCACCCATCCATGCTAAAAACGAATGAGTGATTGTCCAATCTGAGAAGACATCGGTTGCACGTTTGACTACTGAATAGTCCAAGTACTGACCTCTAAACTCTGCACTTCCACTACGCAACGTAGCTTCTACATCTGGACGGTGGTCTTGAGCATCGACAGGTTGTGCACTCAAGGCATCATTGAACCGTTTTTTAATTGCAATAGCGCTGAAAAAACTGCCGCGAAGCCCAGGTGATAATGAGTTCTGGAGCGACCAATACCATGGCCATGATGCTATACGACGAAAGACAATATAGCGTGTCTTCTCTTCCATACCCTGAATGTTCGGATGAATGGCGGTCCACGCGCATGCAAATAAGGTTACACCACAACTCCAGATGATGTCCCACAAAGTTCTGGTGTTATTGCTAGGTGGAGAGTCGTTGGCATCAAGTGTATGGATAATGGTGCCATTGAGGTGCAGAAGTGAAGCGCAAACAAATGGGATGTATAAGAGGATAGTGCAGCGTAGGAGGGCCATGAAGTGTAATCCGACTACTATGATCTGTTCACTCTGCTCTCTTTTGAAGCTGTAGCTGCGTGTATTGGCAATTCATGATAAGCCAGGGTCCAGGTACAAAAAGGTGTCGTACCCTTCCCGAGTCGGTTCCTTTGAGTAACTTCAAACAAAGTTTGAACTGTTACCCCTGTGAGGCTGTGACACAGCACTCACAACGTTTCACAGACCCCAGACTCCATTCAACATCTTCGCTTGAAGAAGCTTGAAGGCCCCATACCATACAAAATTTGAGCAAAAGCAAAATTCGATATCACCTCAACTGGTTACGGTTCGATTTGCCACTATGTCGGAAGGATTTTCGATGGCCGATCGTTGTTACGCCTGTCAGTCATGCTGTAGTGGTGTATATTACAAGCCAAAGGAATAGCGGCATATCAGTGAGCATCCTCGGTCACCCACTCGTCCTAATCATCACCTGAGAGAACTGCTCAAGGATGAAAGACTTACGTGGCTCACGAGCGCTCTGCATGGAGTCTGGACAGCATTCTCATATTCCCACGTGTCCAGCTTGATTCTCTGCGCTCTCATCTTCAGCTGACACGATAACCACTGGCAGCAGAAGCGGAGCCGCCGAGGACATCCACTGGCAAACGAACCATACGAGCTGAAGAATGGCGACGCCTTTGGATAGTATGTCACCCTTGCTTCGGTCTTCAATATCCGACTTCGGGATGACAGGTATGTCCACAGATCCCTGAAGAACAAATTGTAGGAGTTCATCAGGTGTAAGAGTTGCTTGCGGCTGGCCATCATCGTAGAGGATGAATCTGCCTATTTACGTGAAGAATCCATGAGTAGTTGTCCAATCTGCGGAAACATTGGTTGCATGTTCAGTACCGAATAGTCTGAGCACTGACCTCTAAACTCTGCAGGTCTGGGAGCGCCTGAACTTCCACTCGATTCCGGACATTCCTTACGCAACGTAGCTTCTACATCTAGATGATGGTCGCGGGCTTCAGCAGGTTGTGCACTCGATATCGGTGCCATTGAGACACAGGAGTGAAGCACAAACAAACGGAATGTATGAGAGGACAGCGCAGCGAAGGAGGGCCATGAAGTGTAATCCGACTACTATGATCTGTTCACTCTGCTCTCTTTCGAAGCTGTAGCTGCGTGTATTGGCAATTCATGATAACTTGAAGCTGGGACTTAAGGTGTCGGAGAAATAACGAAATGTGGCAGAACAAATCAAGTTCTTTGAAACAAACTTCAATGCAAGTGATCGTACCTTAAGTCCAACTCGAACTTTCCGCAGCCGCGGTGCATCAAACGTAATGATGAGACCTCAGAAACCTTGGTATTCACTGCGAGAGGTACTGCCATGTTATGTCGAGCAAGCCTTATTGTGGCGGATATCGGCGATAGTGTGGCCTAAAACGGAAAGAAAGAAAAAGTATATTGCATCGCGGCACAAAAAAAATACTCCAAGTGTACTGCTTTCCTGTCGGTATCAACTACCTCGGATTCCACTCGCGAGGAGTAGGCCAGAAGTCAGAACAGCGTATCTGCACAAGTCAATTCATTATGACTTGATCTTGGCTTTCGGGTAACCGGCCCTCATCAGCACGAACTGGGGTCACTTATGATCTTCAAATACGGCACCGTGAAAGATGGAACGCCCGTCAGTCATGTTCGTAATCCGCGCTCTCATCTTCAGCTGACACGATGACCACAGCAGAAGCGAAGGCGCAGAGAACGTGGAGGTTCATAAGGCAGCAAATGAAATCCCCGGTGCATGTTAGAGAGATAATCCGCGAGGTCATCCATGTGGCGAACCGTGTGCAATAAATCGTTGAGGGAAATTCAGAGACGCTCCGATCCAGCATGAGCAAGGGCGAGAGCAGGTCAGAAGTCAATCAAGTGCGTCTATCATACAGTCCTGACCTTGACAGAAACCAGCTTGGAACTGCTGTGTAAGCAGGTCTTTCGGGCGTTGCCGGTGGTACTGTACCGTTTTCAGGTTTTCAATAAGAGTTCTTTCCATCTGACCAGCACGCTCAGCGACTTGACTCGTACTTTCACGCCCGAGCTCCTTGTGTATACCATAACGCAAAAAGTAATGGCGGTTTGTTAAACCAAGGAGCTTACCACTTGGATGATAAGCTACAGCTTCGACGATTCAGCTTAAACTCTCATGCAATGCTCTTGATGGTTATCTTCAGAGTGCCAGTGATGCAGATCCTCTTTGCTGGTCTGCTTCTCCATGTGTTATATCTTTACTGCCTACCGGCGGCAGCGAGTATGCAAAGGGGTTCTGTTGAATATGGAACAGAATACACATGGTGCACACTCGCTACACGTCTGACTCGCCTCTTACAACATTCATATCGTAAATTGTCTGGTGGAGTGATCAGCTCGTCTCTTCTAGGTAACAGTTCTAGCTCTCCGCAGCAATTAATTGGATCAGGCTGCACATGACCACCTCGTGTTCAGGCCGTCTTATCTTTGATTCATCAGACTTCGATTTATAGGCACCTGTGTGCACTGGATTCGTGTAAAATGCTGGCGATCGTTGTATCAGGCTCCATCGAGCTACATCGGCGATTCTGGCTGCGGAACGGTTCACAATTAGCCCATTCTTCCCAAGTACGCTTGCCCGAATAACGAACACGAGGCTTCTAAACCTTGTAAGATCACGGGAGTCAGCGCATGTTCCAGCGGATCGTCCCGAGTTATCTTCAAACGAATCACACTGGTGGCTATTGTGACCTTCAAGCGCTAGATACGCACATAAAATGCCCGTGTCGTTTCCGCGAACTCCGACCAGCTTTGAAACTATCATCACCCACAAATCATCATCTGCTTTTTATCGACCATGGCATCAAACAGCTCTCGAAATGGTGTGTTACGAGTACACCACCACCCAGAGTACTATCTCGAAGACGGTAATGTCACCTTCCATGTACGCCACACTTTTGTATATCCCGCTCGCGCTGATCGCCACGTACGAGTAGGTCGAAAATCTCTTTCGTGTCCACAAGCACTTCTTTGAGTGCGAGTCGCAATTTTTTGTCAAGGAGTTTGAAAAAGCTCCCCAGGAGGGAACTTCAGATTCCACTGCATTTCGAATCGATCGGGTAAGCACCGCCGACTTTGCGAAGCTACTATGGGTCTGGTACGATCCGTAAGTATTCGTTTAAATTATTGTGTTCTACAGTCATCATACTTAATCACTGGACATAGCTCGTACAGACGCGAAAGCAAACCGAAAGAACACTGGCTCACCATACTCGAGCTCTCCACGATCTGGCAATTCCCAGAGATGAAGAAACTCGCCGTCGACGAGCTCCAAAAGCTCGATATTGAACCCATTGAAAAATCACCACGTACGAGAAATACCACATCCATAAATCGCTGCTATTGCCTGCATACATGCTCCTGTGCAAGCGGGCGAGCCGAATGTCCGCCGAGGAGGGTGAGCAGCTCAAGATGCCCACTGTCCTTGGGATACATGAAGCTCGCGAGCGTGCAGCCAGGAGCGCAGCGGAGAGGGGGTGTCGTAGCCCAACCTCCGCTGATGCAGACGATGAGGAGCTGGAGAAGATTTTGAATGACGTGTTCAGTCTGAACGCCACTAACCGACAGGGCGCACAGCCGCAGGGGAAACCAAATCCAGTGCCTATCATTAAGAAGCCGGAAGCGAATGGAGCCGCTAATGGCAGTAGGTCGTCTGCTTCAGGTTCGGTCAGTAAAGTCTTCTGTATGAGATCGTGTAATGTGTAGCTGATTGAAAACACTCTGTTCAGGATGATGATAAGCAGAAGGAAGCCGACAAAAATAAAGGCACAGTATGTTACCCGACTTACTAAACATACTTCACTGATGCTCGGGGCATATAGGAAAAGGGAAAGCAAAGATGAGTGAGGAACCAACGGAAGATGGGGGTTGCTCAACTGAGGAACCAACGGAAGGTGTAGGTTCTGATGAACCGATGGAAGGTGGAGGTCGCTCAAGTGAACTCTCGATTTCTGTGATAGAGCCGAGCGGAGCGCACTCGGGTTGATGTGTACCTTCCATTCATGACAGTAATAATCGCGTATACGTATATCGTCCTCCTTGTCTGATATCAAGTCACTGTATTCTTGACAATTCATGTGTTCCGCAATACACCATCGAACAACCATCTGAGTCGAAGCACCAGCAGCCAAAGAGAGAGAGAGAGAGAGAACTTCTATATTTATATACCGCAACAAACAAAGTAAACTGTTAAGACGCGGTGCCCTGTTGGGGGCTGTACTGGGGAGTATTGTAACAGGGTAGGGGGTGTAAGTATAGTACGAATAGCCAAGCGGTCCACGTTTGAAAAGTTCCGGTGCGCGTATTAGTTTGTTCGGCGTCCAGGCTGATTATAACATCTTCTCCTCGTTCCATGTTCTCCTCGTCTCCTCCCTCCTTCGTCTCCTCCTTTTCCGCCCTCATCAGGCATCTATCCCTCTCCTTTCTTCCCAGTCCTCTTCTCGTTCCGGTGTGACCTTTTTGAATGCGCTGGACTCTTCAATAAACTTCACTAGGGCCTTGATGTCCTTTTCCGTACCCAGGACTTCGTTGAGTATGATGTTGCGGGATACCTCAACCAGCAGCCAAAGAATTCGACGTTCAGTTGACACTCGCTTAACATAGACGATGCTAATCAACCTGAATCGTACACCCACCACAAAGCAGCTGTATGGTAGTACGCGCTGAGCTGAAGTCTCAGAGTATGCTGCAGACTAGCAGCGAGTCGAAGCTAGGAGCCGGGGGCGTACATCGCACGGGCGTTAGCAAAAGGCATGGCCAACCCGGTGTAGCTTGGATGCCTCACCAAGTAGGGTCCACTTGTTGTGAGCTTGCCCGTCTCGAATATATTACTCTTACGTGAAGAAGTGACTCAACGTTCTGTAGCACTGCCAACGAATGTAACCCGACATCACAAACACCGAGCTTCCTAGAGCTTATGTCGTGGTGAGTTTGCTTGCGTCAGG